ACATATATCTGAAAATGGTTTTGGTTCAGTGTTAGAATTAAGGATATTATCAACAAGAAAGTGTCGAAATAATTTATGCACATATTCTGTTCCGGCTATGTTTGATATATTAAGCTTAAATCATAAGGGATATTTACTTATTTATATTTGAATAGTAAGCTGGTATTAAAACTGCATTTAATATGTTACTTTGTTTTACATTTTGTATGTATACAGGTCTCATCACGATTTCGTTAGATTTGAGTTTTACCCGATGTCAAACTGAGAAAACTCCGAAAACAATCAATCTTTACATACATAAAGACTTTTAGATCAAAACATGAAACATCTTGAACAACTACTTAATATATTCTGTATCTTTAATTACATGTGACTTTTTAGTAAGTGACTTTCGTGCCAGTTTAATAATCATAGTATATCTCCCTTTCTTTTTTCAATTTATGTAAACGATATTGAAGATACACTTTTACGTGAAGGATTTAAAGGCATAAATACCGGTTTTTTAAAACTTTTTCTCCTTTTATACGCAGACGATATTGTGATAATAGCCGAAAGTTTAGATGATTTACAAAAAGGCATGGATATTTTAAAAGATTATTGTGAACGTTGGAAACTTACCGTAAATATTAATAAAACAAAAGTGATGATTTTCAGAAAGGGTGGACGATTACCGAGAAATATAAGGGTTATGTATAATGGGTCTGAAATTGAAATAGTGAATAAATTTACATATCTTGGTATAGTTTTTTCTTGTGGGGGGTCTTTCGAACACACATATGATGCATTGTCAGGTCAAGCATTAAAAGCTATTTTCAAAATGAAACAATACTTACAGAAATTTACTTATATAGATATAAAACATAAAATTGAATTGTTTGACAAGTTAATTAAACCTATTTTATGTTATGGATGTGAAATATGGGGCATGTATAAAGCTGATAAAATAGAAAATATACATACACATTTTTTGAAAAACATTTTAGGGGTAAAATTACAAACCCAGACTAATTTTGTATACGGCGATTTAGGTAGAATGCCTTTAAAACAACAAAGAATAATACAAGTTTTAAAATTCTGGTTAAAGATAATTAAATGCGATAACGTGAAACTGATTAAACAAACATACAATTTGATGCTTGAAGATATTGAACGAAACAATGAAATTACTAATTGGGCAACATCTGTAAGAACAATTCTTGAAAATTTAGGCTTAAATTATGCATGGATATTTCAAGAAATAGGAAATGAAAACATTTTTATAGCAGAAGTCAAGCGAAGACTTGAAGATAATTTTATTCAAACCTGGATGTCTGAAGTTGAAGCGTCACCCAGGGCCGACACATATAAACTTTTCGCTACTTTCGGTTTTTCGAAATACATAGAACAAATCAATATTAGTAAATACCGAGCTGCTTTAACAAGATTTCGTTTATCCTCACACAGATTGTATATAGAAACCGGCAGATGGCATAAACCGCATCCGATTCCAAGAAATGAACGCAAATGTATCTTATGTAACACACTAGAAGACGAATTTCATTTTCTTTTAGAATGCGAATTATATAAAGATTTAAGAATTAGATATATAAAACAATATTTTCGAAAAAGACCGAATATTCCAAAGTTTGTTGAACTTCTTTCCAGCGACCAAAAACAAATAAATACCAATCTTGCAATATACTTATTTAAATGGAACGCCGTAGCATAGTTTTATATTAAATGTGCATCACTTTTCTCCACAAAATATATTTTTACATTTTTCTCTTGTGGAAGACTCTATTTTGATATATTAAATAATATTTTTGTATACGTGTGCATGTGTGTGTGCGCGTGCGTGCGTGTGTGTGTGTGCGTGTGTGTGTGTGTGTGTGTGTGCGAGTTCGTGCGTGTGCGAGGTTTAATACTCATGTTTAATACTCATTGTTTATTTTCAAAATCTTATTGACGATGTTTAAAATAGGTGTATAACTGTTTGAAAATTTGAGAAGATTTACATAAAAGCATTTATGATACTGTTTGTTTTCAAAATCTTATTGAAGATGACTATAATAGCTGTATAACTGTTTGATAATTTGAGAAGATTTACATAAAAGCATTTATGATACTGTTGCTCTTACGTTTGCAAAATGATAATGATTGCATGCAGTGATGATTAATATTTTTTACAATTTCATACATTTATGCTGATTTATATAGAATTGGACCGCCACTGATTATTTTGTAAAAAAAACTGTATTATATGTTTGTATATATGTACTCACAGGCACTTGCCTTTTGTTCAATAAAATTATTCATTCATAAAGAAATATATATCATACATTTTTGGCACTAAAGCTATAGCTCTGTAATACGTAAATCATCAGTACTCACCCAAACCAAACGGTGCAAAGTGCTCTTTGTCTTGAACATATTCGCCTTTTTCAGAAAGGAACCTCTCAGGTCTGAAATTATCCGGATCTCCCCACTTGTCTTTGTCCATCAGCATAGTGAAGATAACGAATATTACGACGCTATTTTTAGGTATGGTGTAACCTTCAAACTCTGTGTCTTCTATTACAGAATGGGGAACCGTTTGTGGTGCTGAAATGGAAACAAAAGGAAAACAAGTCAAAGATGCATAAGATTTTATTTTATAAAGTTTTGAGTTTTCTAACAAGTCACACATAATATGTAAAGATCATATGGTAACTGGACAAGACAAACGTGGTTCCAAGGCACTAAAAAAATTTCCTGGCTCGAACTCAGATGTTCGGTATTTGACTGGTCAAAAACGAGTACAAATGTGTGTGCACTGACCAATGAAAACCAGAGATTCACGACATACATGTATATCAGGAAAATAAACACGTTTTTAAAGCCTTGAGAAATTGACGAAACACAAGCAGAGACGATTTTTTTAAAGGCTGACATATCTATCATATATATCCCTTTAGTCTCGATTTAGTTTTTGTTATTTAACAACACCGTATTACAGACAAACTCCTTTGCTTATACAATTACTTTATTGATGCAATGAAATATTGACAGTATTTAATTTATCTGCAACAGGAAATGTTCTCCACTAGCATAGTCTTACGTTTCTCACGTCTGACATGTTTCACTGCCCTCCAGTGAGATTCGTAAAAGCTTACATTTTTCACGGGTCTGACGAATCTCACGCTACACCGGCACTGGTGATAATAACTTGTAAAAATCTGTAAAAATGGTAACGGCAGCAATCGGTCATCATTGACGCCTGTAATACGGTGTGTTTACCTCTATACGGCTTAGTTTGGTACTGGTAAAATACCGATTTGCTTTGTCGCAGTTTTGCAAATTTGTCATGGTTGTATATCTTTCGTCAAAGTGTTGTAGTATAACATTTATGAATCATTAAATGATTCTGACCAAATGCTTTGTGGTTCAAGTCTTTACTCACCAATTGTACTATACCGTAGAACCTCGTCAATAAAAGCTTGTAAATATGGAAGGTCTTTCTTGTCATCAAGACTAACGCTTCGTCCTGTACCAACAACCTGAAAAGTTGTGTACGTTTTAATAATATACCGGTCAATTAGACTATAAGTACTATAAATATATAAGTTAAACAGACACACAAATGCAACATCAAATATGACAAAAGCGCTATCGATACATTGGTAGTACAAACTTTCAACCTATGATATGACAAGCGCTAGATCAATGCTCAATGCTCGGTATAACAGACTTGAATCCAAACAGTGGTAAGAGCACTGTAAATGCAATGACAGAAAACGGAATACCAACGAAACAAATGTGGCACAATCACTATCAACCACTATTATTGCACTAATCAAGCATACAGACATATGCAACGTTCTAAGCACGTGCACATCCATCCGGAGAAGCAAGCTGAAGAAGCTTAAGACCCCCCCCCCCCTGTGCGCTACTTAAAATAATTGATTTACTAAGAACTTTTTTCTGTTTTTATTACCTCGAGAATCTCATCCCTGCATCTTTTCTGGACTTCCGGTTGCTTAATTAGATGGATGATTGCCCAGGTCATAGTAGTGGCAGTAGTATCAGTGCCGGCATTGAAGAGGTCGACAATCAGGCGGAATAAATTGAAACTTCTAAAAATAACATTCATATTTTTTAAACGTAAAGCCCGTAACATTTAATTAATCGAAACCGAAGTCATTAGACTTTGCCATCGGTACAAAACCATAAATATACGCAGAAAATGTGCAGTGTCCGGTATTTGTAACACAATTATATTGACTGTTTGATATGGATGAAATTTAGTAAATCATTGTTTAATTTTTAAAAATGATTTATTTGTGTGTTTGACTTATAACACCCCAAAGGGTAGTAGTAGGGAAAATATTGATGATCAATCTATATTTGAAATTTTACTTGATGACATGTTGAATTTTGAAAATATGTACAATAATAAATGCAATTTTATTTTAACTGGAGATTACAATGCTAGAGTTGGGGAAAGATTAGATTATGTTGAAGAATCTAACCATATTTTACATGATTTTTTACCAGAAGATTATATTACAAGATGAAATATTGCCTAGGAAAAGTCTAGATAAAACTGTGAATGAATATGGAAAAAATTACTGTTAGAGTTTTGTAAGCTTCTGTGTAAGAATATTAAATGGCAGATGTTGTGAAGATAATAATGTGGGTAAATATACATGCTTAATACACAAGGCAGCAGTGTAATAGACTATGTTTTATGTAGATCAGATTTGATACAATTTATTTCACACTTTTGAAGTGAGTGACCCCAAATATTTGTCTGATCATTGCTCTGTGCACTTTAATCTAAAATCTTTGTAAAATATCTGAAAATGAAGATAAAACTGAAAACTGATAATTCAAATATACCTTTACAGTTTAAATGGGAAAACAGTAAAAAGGAATTGTATATTAGTAGTTTATGTAGTTATATGCGTTTATGAATGAATTTGTAAATATATGTCAAATGTTGATGGTGCTGTAAGTAAGCCATGAAATAGATCAATCTTTGACAAATTTCTGTAATATATTAGAAGATGTATGGTAATACATTATTTAAAAAAAAAAAATGTCACAAAATAACATTGGGTTCTAACATAAGAAAAATTAATGTATAATTAATGATAATGATTGTAAAGATTAATAAAAAAAAAATATTAAGATGTCTGAATATTTGGAGAAATAATAATGTGATGAAAACAAGGGCGGAAAATGGTACAAGCCGTAGTAAATTATAAAAATACTATTAGGAAAAAGAAATTTATTTTATGATAAGGAACAAACACACATTATTTAGAAAATGCTAGGCTTTGTAAGCTAGGTTATATTGGAAAATGTTGAAAAGGCACTGTTCATGAAAATAATAAATGTAAGCTAACCACAGATGATTTTCAAAGATTATTTTAAATCTGTAAATGATCCTGAGTCTGTATTTTATCAAGCTGGATGAAGAGTCTTATATTTTAATGATAGATACTTAAATGAAGAATTAAATGTCATGTTCTCTGAACTTAATGTTCCTTTCACTAGTACTGAAATTTTAATGCTTGCAAACAGTTAAATGCTGGTAAATCAGCTGGGCCGGATTATTTACTAAATGAAGTTTTTTTAAGTTTGGAATCTGATTTTGATCACTTTTTAACAGGTTATAGTTTCTTTGTTTAATAAAATGTTTGATATAGGTTACTTTTCCATCAAGTTGGACAGAAGGTTTTATTGTACCTATTCATAAAAAGGGGGGATATAGATAACCCTAATAATTATAGGGGTTTACCCTTCTTAGCATATTTGGGAAACTTTTTACAAAAGTAATAAATGACGTTTAAATATATGGGCTGAAAAAATACAATGTGTATATAGAATCCCAGGCTGGTTTCAGAAAAAACATGAGCACTATTGATAATGTTTTTATATTACATGGTGTTATAACACATTTATTAAATAATAATAAAAAGTTGTATGCTGTTTTTGTAGATTTCACTAAAGCTTTTGACTATTTGGTAGAGATGTTATTTGGTATAAATTAATTCAATTTGGAGTGAGAGGTAAAATGTTAGATATTATTAGGTCCATGTATGAGAATGTCAGATCAAGAGTAAAATACAATAATACTATTAGTGAAGAGTTTGTAGTGTTACTTGGGAGTAAGACAAGGCGAATCCCTTTCGCCGTTTTTATTTTCTATGTTTATTTAAATGATATAGAAGAATATTTTATGTTTAAATGGTTTTGAAGGTATTGACTTAGGTATTTTAAAGATATTTTTATTTAATTGTATGCAGATGATATATAGTGATTATGTCTGAAACAGAGGAGGGCTTTACAAAAAGGATTAAGATTATTAGAAATATAATTGTGATAGGTGGAAATTAAGTGTTAACTGTACAAAGACAAAGGTTTTTTGATTTTTAAAAAGGGGGTACAGTGCCTTAGACAGAATTTGAATGTTTATTATAAAGGTCAGTCAATTGAAATGTTTTAAAAAGTTTTACATATCTAGGCATTTTTTTTCTGGGTTGGTTTGGTTTTTAATATGGACTTTTGAAAACCTCTCTGGACCCAAGCATTGAAGGCGTTATATAAACTTGAAAAAGAGTGATAAGATTCCCTTGTATGTCCAGTTAAACATAAAACTGGATTTATTTGGATAAACTTATTTTACCAATTCTTAACTAAGGATCACAAATATGGGGTTTACTTTGATTGTCATGTATTAGAAAACATTCATTTTAAAGGGTTTTGTAAGAAGTTTGTTAGGAGTTTTAAAAGACAAACACAAACAAATTTTATCTATGGTGAACTTGGAAGGACATCTTTAAAAAACAATGGAGAAGCTATTAATGTTATAAAATACTGGTTAAAAGTTGGGTTCCAGTTAAGTAAAGTACAAAATATGTCAAAGTTGTATATGATCTTATGTGTAGAGATTTTAGAACTTAAACCGAATTCAATGGTCCTGGGCTAAGGGTCTGGTTATGATTTGGGGTTACAATCTTTAGGTTTCAATGAAGTAGGATTAATCAGGGCGTTTTGGTGATAATAAAATAATTTTTTAGCAGTAAGTAAAAAACATAGATTAACAGATACATTTATAACAAAATTGGTTGCAACTTTAAGAGATTCATCAAGAGCAAAGAAGTTATGTATTATTTTGTGATTTTGGTTTAAGTCATATCTGTTCAATGGTTTTAATATTGAAAAAATTAGGAAATCTTTTCACGTTCAGGACATCATCGCAATAGATTAAAAGTAGAAACTGGTTAGAATGGCATAAACTGAAGCAATTCCTTATAATGAAAGAAAATGTAATATTTGCTTAAAAACTAGAATGATGAATTTCATAGTATTATTAGAATGTCCACAATACATTGTTTTTTGAGAAAACAGCTCATAGATAAATGATTATTTGGAAAAAAACAAAATAATAACCCAAAATTTCTTTGAAAATTGTTAACATCTCAAAATGAAAAATGTTTATAAGAAAATTATCAATGTTTTTCTTTAAAATGTTTGAATTAAGAACAAATGATGAATTTCGGGTAAATTATAGTACCTAGGAAGGTAAATGTAATGTTACTTAATTGATATCATTATGTAAAACCTTGTGGCTTCATTTAAACCTTGGCTGTAAAATGTTATTTTTCATATTAAAAAAAAGCATTTTTTTTTTTTTTTTTTTTTTTTTTTTTTTTTTTTTTTTTTTTTTTTTTTTTTTTTTAAACTTATGACTAAATATTACAGGTAAATGCTAAATATATGTTTATATTTTTAATGACCTTGATATTAATGTTTTGTATGTATGTATCTTTTGTATATATGCTGTGTGCTCATGGGTATACATACCCACAAATGTATTTGGAATAAAATTCTTGAAATCTTAATATTAAATAATATGCAAGAGTTCGAATATACATTAATTCTAGGCGTCCTTGTGGTCTTCTTGTTGACAAATGTAATGGGGCGTGTTTAATGTTAGGACGTGTGTATAGTAACATATGGTAAAAAGCAGATCAGACATTTGGTTGCTTAAATATTTATACAACATATAACCATCGTCTAATGTCAGACATTAGTAATAAATTATATGTAGATTTAAATTCAACCCTTTAAAAAAAACCAATTGTAATATATTCAATATGACTGATAAATGAAATGTTCAATATTTGTCCAAATATGATATATATAATATGGTAACAAGTAATTGATTTGGTCATATAATTTATTTAGATCCACGTAAACCATTTATAGCGTCGTCTCCACTTCCGCCTTCAATTTCTTTAAAAACAGGTCAACAAAGTCCCCCGGATGTTGTCGGGTCAAACGTTTTTCCCGATGCTCTTTCCCAATACGACCTTTGACATAACTTTTCCAATACTTTTGACATTTTGCTAGCACTTTGCTTAGTGGAATAATCAAATTGTAAATATTAATAATAATTTTGTGGAAATTAAAATGAAAAGGTTTTATACAAGAATTCTTCGTTTTTCGCAGATTTTTTCTCATTTGTTTCTATTAATTTGTGACTACAGTCTCACTTACATCCCGGCAGAGCCCCGGTAGACGTCCGGGGTGAATCTCGGAACGACCAGGGTAAGACCGGGAAAA